TAAGATACTTTTGCATTCACTGTCAAGCTACAGTAAGTGCCTGAAAAATTGAATTGTTACGTGATTCTACATATATCATCTTAAAACCAAAGCTGAGAGGAGCTGAAAGTGTCCTTTTAAAGGCCAAATTACAGACCATTAAAAAGTTATATCAAAATAACATTAGCTTAGCATATACAGCTCAAGACTTGAAGAAACTGGCCAAAAAGAAACTACGGGGCTCAATACTTGCATTGTCAGATATTTAGGTGGTGTTAGGTTGCAATCTATCACTCTTCTGTATCTGAAAAATTAATGGCTGACCTTCTCTGTACTATTTTGAGAGCTCATGTTTTCCATTGTTTCAGCAAAAGAGCTTCTCTGTCCCTATCTCTACTAATCCAAGTGTGCTTGCTCTTTTTCATGCAACCATACTGACCCTTCCCAGCTTCTCCTGCGTATGAGCTATTTCATATGACTCCAACCAAAACCACGAGACGCTGAAACTGCGATCATCAAAACAGAACACCACCACTGCCAATTTCTTTTTTGCCTTTCTGTCCAACTTTATGCAACGATTTCAGATCATGCAGACATTTGCATATATGCTCACTGAAGCAGCACAACAGGGTATGGCCTTCTTTTAAACTCAACAACTAAAATAATTTGCATCTATTTTCAAAAAACCCCATTTTAAAGTCAAAGTCCAAATGAGCCATTTTAGAAAACGTTTTCTACTTTATAAACTGTTTCAAGCTCCATCTTGTAAGTACCCGCATTTAGCTACTGAACAGAAGAGTTGATTTAACACATGAAGTTCCATGGGGAAGGTGCAGGAGGGAATATTAGGTGTCTTTTTTCTGTCTTTTCATTTATAGTCTACAACTTAAATCCATCAGTTGGTCACTGATTTGTTTGTATTCTCATAAGCTTAATTGATTAATGATGCTTAATTAGAAACATAGATACAGTCCTTCAATTCACCAATTTTAGAAGCCTGCAAGAGCCCTTAGTTATATGCACTGAAGTTCAAAAACTCCTTCACTGCTTCAAGAATTAGGGCTGGATCAAAAGTTTCAGGTAAGCAGAAGCAAGAATTAGAACGTGGTGTTCTAACAGGAAAGAAAGTTCAAGACAGCATGTTGAACTAAGTCATTTAAGTTTAAAAAAAATAGAAAACTATCACTTAAGTTCCCTTATGGAGCTATTTTTCTTGGTTGATTTTTTTTGTTTTGTTTGGGGTGTTTTGTTTTTTTTATGTATATAAAAAAGCCCCAAACAACAACTTTCTTTAATTCTTAATGTATTAAAAACTTAACTTTACTACAGATCAATTACTCTTAGATCAAATTATGGTTAGCAGACAAACAGGAGCACTTTGCCAGAAGACCCATCCCTGAAACTAGGAGAAAATGGCATCTTTGATACGGTAACACACTGGATCAACAAAAACAAGTTACAGGGACAGACCAAGGTTTGAATGAACTTTCTGTAGACCAAAAGGGAAGAGAAGAAAACAAGTTGGGGGGGGGGGGGGGAATGGGGACGGGACGATGATGATCCTACAGATGAAAAAGAAAACCAAAGCTAGGAAAAGAAACAAACCAACCATACAGCTGCAAGTGAATTGTCACGAGTTCAAGTTCAGAAGAGAGCCAAGTACTTTCTTCCTCCCTTTACAAAAAAAGGATTGGGATAGACACACTGATTGAAAAATAAGTAAATAATGCTTTATAAATTATTGTGGTTGATTTTGCATGTATATTCTAAAATCACCCTGTTCTGCATAGCCCTGAATTCGTCCCAGGGACCACAGTTTTGAAGGGCCACCAAGTGTTTCGTTACATAACTCCTATGACTGCTCGTAAGCAATTAATGGTGCATGTTAACTGGATTATATAAGTAATAACACAAGCATATCTTACAGGGCTTAATTTTGTAAAGCACCATTAATGGCTTTGTACTGTATTTTAAGCCATTAGTATCTTTCATTTTAAAAAAGGACAAATCAAAATGCATGGCCTGGAGTACCCATCCATACAACTACAGTTTTGAGGTTCTTTGCACGTTTCATTTTTGATGAGAACAAACTGTTCAGAAGGCAAACACAGCACCAAAGGGAAAACAAGTAACAAAAAAACCTCCAGGCTTCTGTAAGGCATCACATATTCTTTATGCTAAAAATGACAAGTTACCTAAGTTTCACAAAATCTGAATTCACTAAAGTATTCCATAAACCATAAACAGGATGAACAGGAGAGAAACCAGAAGGGTTTGTCTCGCCTGTGACGATATGTTATTCAATCTAACTCTTCAAAAGATCCCACAGTCTGGAAACAGTAAGGGGGACACGAAGGGACATATGTACACATTCTTACACCACGGCACTACAAGTCAATGTCAGGTTCTGCAGAAAAAATGACAATACTAAGATACACCTGCCGGACAGAGAAAGCCTATTTAGTGCTTGACCTCAGAGCACTAAACCACTTCATACAAGTACAGAAGTAGGGTGGTCAGTTTTCAAGCAAGAACGTCCACTTGCACGTACTTAGGAAAAACCCCACTATTTTTGGTGTTCAAACTGTCTCCTTGTTCCAAACAATATTTCAGTTTTAGCTCCAGGTGTGGCCCACCAGTTAACACGATCACAGCAATCATATTCCTGCTGCTTTTCTCCTGTCAGAGGATAAGCATCACATTGCTTTTTTTCCTTCAGTAAAGTGGACCACCTTTCCACTCTAAAGCTAATGCTGTAAGATCTGACTCTGTTGCATAGAACTGAAGATGTAATAGCCAATTTGCCAGGTACAGTTTGAAGTATTGGTACATGACAGCATGACAGCTATGCTTGTTCTCTCATACTAGAAATACTGCAGACTGGAAAAGGGATAAAAATGAAAAGCCACACAAAACTCCCACCCACAAAAACTTTAGATGAAAGGCTTCCTATACTTGTAAAACATTCTCATGTTTAAGGCAGTGACATACATGTTAAAAAGCTGCTTGATAACTAGGATAAAACAGTTAAGACATGATCCCTACTTGAAGTTTCTCTCTGTTTTTGAACACAGGCTTGAAGACCCTAAAGCACAGTTGAGCCTTTTTCATATTAAGGGTAGAAAGGAGTGTTTCCTAGGTAACTCACACCCACATGACAAGTGGCATTTCCATTCACAAGTGAAGCACAGCTACAAATCTTCCTTACCTGCTAATGCCAGCTGAAGCCCACTTATATCCACTGACTGGGCCATGTTCCCCACGTCCATTGAAGCAATCTGCCGAGGGGTCTTCTTAAACAGTTCTCTAGGGGGGGCCAACATCAGCTGAGAAAGAAAGAACTTTTCTGGAGGAGTTATAGGAGGTAAGAAACCTGTGGAGACACAATGAAAAACAAACCCCGATTTTTGAGGCAGTAGCATTAATAGCTTCAATATGCTTCATGCAGAACAAGCATAACTAAAACACAAACTAGTGTGTTATTTATGACAAGACCAGTACAGCTGATGAGTCTTTGTGAGCACATACAAAACTATGATCTACTCGGCTCCTACAGTGATGTAAAATACAGCAATATACTGATGGATACCTAAACAAGGTCTATGAGAAAGCTGGACAGATATTTTTGACAACAGCAGGCAATGAAAGGAAACTAGCTTTAAACTGAAAGAGGGGAGATTTAGATTAGATATTAGGAAGAAATTTTTTACTGTGAGGGTGGTGGGGCACTGGTACAGGGTGCTGAGAGAAGCTGTGGCTGCCCCATCCCTGGCAGTGTTCAAGGCCAGGCTGGACAGGGCTTTGAGCAACCTGGTCTAGTGTGAGGTGTCCCTGCCCATGGCAGGGCGTTGGAACTGGATGATCTTAAGGTCCTTTCCAACCCAAACCATTCTATGATTGTAAACTAAATGATCTTTAAGGTCTCTTCCAACCCAAATGATTCTCTGACTGCTGCTGTGCATCTCAACACACAACATATGATGCTAAGGCAGCCACAATGGTTTCTTTACACACTGCCCAATCTAGACAACTACTGCGCTATTAAGTTATCGCCAGACAGCACAAGGCAAGTTATAAAAGCAATTTGTTTTAGAAACCGATTTACCCATCGCTGTCGCTCTTGTGTCTACTGAAGTGGGAAAAATACCCTCATGTATTTCTTTAAAAGATTTGTTTCACAGCTTTAAAGCTGCTAAAAGCCTCTTATTAGGTCCAGGGTTTTGTAACAGCTTTTTCCCCAGCGGAGAAACAGCGTTCCGGCGCAACCAAGGGGCCTATCCGACACCGAGCGCAGAGACGCTTGCCATGTAGAAGTCCCACCGCGTCTTCCAAACGCGGAGAGCGACCGACGGGCGGGAAGCCGAGATGGGGCTGCCACAAGCAAGCCACGCCACCGAGCGGTGCCGCTCTCCCCCCTCCCTCTTTCCTTCGGCCCCGGGACGCACCTGAGAGCGGGGTGCGCTCCGCCTCGTCACCGCCGCGCTCGGGCGCGGGGTTGAGGAGGTGAGCGAAGACGGCAGCGAAGGGGTTGGCGGCGAGGGGCTCGGTGCGGTACATCTCCCAGAGGAGGTAGAGGGCGGTGAGGCGCTGCGCGGGGCTGGGCAGCAGGTCGGGCTGCTGCAGCAGGAGGACGAGGACGGACCCCAGGCGGAAGTGCTCGGCCTTGCCGAAGTAGTGGTGGAAAGCGCTGGAGAGGCCCTCGAAGGTGCTGCCGCCCGCCTCCTCCGACACGATGCTCAGCAGGCTCGACAGCTCCTTCGGCGACAGGCTCATCCTGCCGCCCGCCGCGCCGCCGCCCGCCGCGCCGCCCGCTTCGCCGGCCTCCGCTCCGCCGTGAGTGCCGGGCGCCGGGCTGCCCCCGCCACCGGGCATCCGCCCGCTCCGGCAGGGCCCCGCCGCTCCCCGCCTCCCTAACGCCACCAACGCGCTGTCGCGCCGGCCTCGCTTTACGGCGCGGCCGTAAGACGACGGGACCGACCGAGCGTTCCCGCAGCCGGGGCGACTACGAAGCGCGCACGCGATTGGCAGCGATCGCGGCCCCGCCTCCCTTGAACGCGATTGGTCCTAGCCTCCCGCCGGGGGCGGGGCCGGCATGCGGGATTGGCTGCCGCCGCGCGGGTCCTGCGGAGCCGGGTAGGGGTGTCGCGGGTGTTTGGGCCGGTAGAGGGAGCGCCGCGGCGGCGGGTCCGGTTGGGGTCCGCGGGTCACGGTTCAGCATGGTGGGGGACTGCAGCTCAGCTCCTCGCCGGGAGAGCCCGGTGGTCTCCAGCGGGACAGCTGCGGGTGGCAGCCCTTGTGTGGAGCTGGGAACAAGAGGTTTCCTCTCGGGGGACGGTGAGGGGCTGGAGCAGAGCCCGCCTCCGGGCCCGGCACCCCTGCCCCTCGAGACCCCTGGTTTGGGTCCAGCCTTTGCCTCCTCGTTGCTGTTCCGTTTAGCTTCGTGAACGGTGACGTGGTTGAGTGCATCTCGCTGCGAGATCATCCCACTGCTTTTTGGAAAAAGATAAGTTCTTTACTGTGAGGGTGGTGGGGCACTGGTACAGGGTGCTGAGAGAAGCTGTGCCCATCCCTGGCAGTGTTCAAGGGCAGGTTGGACGGGGCTTGAAGCAACCTGGTCTAGAGGAAGGTGTCCCTGCCCATGGTAGGGGAGTTGGAACTAGATGATACTAAGGTTTTTTACAATCCAAACCATTCTACGATTCTAAGGGAAGCCTCCACACCCCCCACTTCCTCTGCCATCACCCCAAATGAGAGTGGAGAAATGTTCTAGACACTGAGAGGTTGTGTGTCCTTGGAGAGGGATGGAAAGAGGAAGACACCATGGTTGCACCTCAGTTCATGTTAAGAGGGAAGGGTGCTCCGGCTGTCTCTGCCTGGACGAACAACTGGCTGTCCCAGAGGATGATGTCCATCTGTTTCTTCAGTGATCCAGCCCAGTTGAGAACTGCCCACTTCACTGGTGGTGCTCTCGGCAGAGTGGAAGGACAGTGAGCTGCAGGAGCAGCGTGTGGCTGAGAGAACATCCCCCTGAGTGCAATGGTCTGTTTCACCAGCTTGGCTAGCATGTGGGAGGGTATCTCTGGGGATGGCAACTCAGAGATGTATCAGGTATAGCCTGAAGAAGTGTTGAGGGTACAGAGTGAAGGGAGAGCTTTCCATTGTGTGTGCTGGAGAAGACCCTGGCAAGTCCTGACAACAGGCGCTGCTGCTGCTGGCTGCTTGTTTTAGTCCCAGCACTCCTACAGAGTCACTCAGCTCAGGACACCTTTGGCTTTCTAGTTAGCCCTACTGCTTTTCCATGTGTGCACTTTGCTTCTGGCCATCTGCTGTTCAGGTGCTTCCCAAGTCGAAGGTTGAATGCTCATCGCCATGATTCCAGGCCCCACAGAAATTTTCTTCCTTGAGCTCATCTCAAGTGCTCAGTAAGCCCATTTTTAATTTGGCTGTGCATAAACCCTGTGGCAATGATTTCTGCAGTTTAAGAACTATGCTATGTAAACCAGTGTTTGTTCTAATGCTGTTCATTGCTCATCATTCTGTGCATCTCTTATCGTGTCTTATCTTGGTTGTCCCTCTCTAAGGACACATCCTCTTCTCTGGAATCTTTGTTGTGCCGTCCTTATTGCCCTTTTCTCTTTTCTACTTTTGCTGTACACTTTTTGAGAAGGGGGGACCTAATTTGCATCTGGTGTTCAAGCTGTGAGCGTCCCATAGATTCATACACCTTTTTTGGCACAAGTCCTGGTTATTTCTCTTCTCCTTTTTTCATGTTTGCTCTTTTGAGCTGCGAAGCTGACACTATAGAAGAATTGTCCTCCATGACTTCCTCATCAGGAATAGATAAGTAGCACCCACCACTACAAAAAGGGAGGATTTCTTCCTTTTCCACCCACCCTCATTGCAATGTTGTACTTTGCATTTGTCAAATATTTGGTGTCACTGCCATTTAATTGAGTGTTACAATACTCTAAAAATCCTCTGCAGCACCTACCTGCCAGTTTTAGTTCTTACAGTCCTGAATGATTTTTTTCTCAGCAGGAAACAGCATGTACCTGAGAAGAGTGCATCATCCATCCCTTTACGCACACACAGAGGTTTTAGTCCACAGTCTCACCCTTGTGCATGCAAACTCTGGTCATTGCTGTAGTTTCATGCAATTTTCTCAGTGGAAAATTGGACTTGGTGGTTTATAGTTTGTTGGATTATCTCCACGGCATTTTTGAAGGTTGGTATCAGACTTGCCACCCTTATTTCTTTGGTACTGAGATTGGTTTTGTGAGTATCACAGTTCATAGTTCAGCATCTTCATCCTTCAGCTGGTACAAATCTCTTGGATTAATCTCATCTGATCCTGGTGATGAGTAGTGACTCATTTTACACATTTCATTTCACATCACTTACTAACACTTCACTGTGAGGCAGTTTTTCTCACTTGTACCCTGTCAGTAAAAGTTCTTGTCTGGGAATGTCTCCAAAATCCCATGTAGAGATGCAAAGAATTAATTTAACTTTCTTCCTAATCCTTCCCTGAGGATTTTGTATGTTGTGCTTATCTGTTGACCTCGGACTGACCAGCAGATTTTCTGTTTCTGGTGTGCTTGCAAAAGTCATATTTGTTCTTTTTTTGGATGAAGTTCATGGTTGGCAAAGATCACGCCTAAAATTGTGCCTTAAATTGAGGATGGTTTGCTGGGTGCTAACCCACAGTCAAATAGAGCTGTGATGCTTCTGTCCAGGTGGTCTTTTTTGTACAGCCTGCTCCTGATAACACTCTGCTGAAGACAGCAGAACAAAAACAATGAACATGTTCAGAAAAAGAAGGCTGCCTCTTATTTTCCTATAAATTTTGGAAATGGAAGCCACCTTTGGATATTGCACTTACTGGAATAATGAATGTAGAATTGCAGAAATGGACTTCAGAGCAATAAAAAATTTCCCCATGATTGAGATGGCAAAAAAATAAATATGTGATTCATACATGGCTAATGCAGCCAACTGAAATTATTCTATTCAAAGTAAAAGGTTTCTGGTGAGAACAGGAAAGCTAGCAGTTTAGGCAATGGAATACTTTATACAAGTGGCATGGGCACAAGGGTCAGTTGACAAAGGGAATTTTGAAATCACAAAGATTTTAAAACATTGATATTTCAGGGTAGCAAAAATCTTAATCTAAGAAAAAGACAGGGTAAAATACTCTTGGAGCAGCAAGTGTAGTAAATGTGCTGTAAAAGAATGTTTCTGTAACTGCACAAGGTGCTGTATTTTATGGGCACATGTGTGCCTTGGATATTCCTGGGCTCAAAACTTACATTTTGTGTGATAAAGAAGTGAGAGTATGTGATACTAGTGCACACTCAAATAAAATGAGTTCTCAGCCAGATTTGGTTTCTGAAATGGGTCTCATTGTGCTTGAGGAGGAAGGCTGGGGCCCCAGCTACCTCAGTGGGTCTGGGGGGATTGGATTCCACAGGAGATACATCACTGGTGCAGAGTTTCATGGTGTAAAAGGAAGAGTTTGGTCTTCTGCCTCTGCAGAACTGCTCTTCTGGGAGCAGGCTGAGCATATTCCATTTCTTTTAGATGGCTTATAGAATAGCTATTAAATGGTCAATAAAACCATGAAATATACCCATCATTCTTTATGTTTGGATTTGAGTAAGAACCTCAGTAAAAATCATGCTTTGTGTTCCTAAACAGGAATAAAGGGATTTGGGCTATGCTTATCAGTCTTCTTATCTAACTCTGTCCTGTTGGCTCATAAATGCTAATACAGCTGCAGATATTCCAGACTAAAAGTGACACAGACAGTCTAGTTTGGCAAGTAATCCTTTGCAAATACAAATAAACCTTTACAAATCATTTGAACATTAGATGCAATTGTTTTAGTATTTAAATGAACACCAGTCTTTGATAAATGGTTATTATTACTGGAAAACTAGGTCCATGACCAAAGGAGCACGTTCAGTTTTATTTGATTTGATTTCCTGAGCTAAAGGAAAGACCAAGTAATTTAACTGTAAAAGTTGTTTTTCCTTCTTGCCATGTTAAAATTGATTATATTATTGTTTGCTATTGCATTTTAGATGACAGCCAAGAGCACAAACTGCATTGTGGGCACTAGGAAAAAAACCCTACTAGTGAAGGATCAATAGGAAAAGACAGCATTTGGAAGGAGAAAGAAAAAGTGGAAAAGAAGATGTATTAAATTGACTTGCTCTGCAGCAAGAAGAGTTTTATCTACCAAAAGGCTGAATACTTGGGAAACAACTCTTACCAGCGTATCTTTTATCCCACAATTCATTTGCGAAGAACACAGTGGGAAAGGATTAAATCACACCTTAAAGTCAAAGGGTAGATTAAAGCACTTCCAGATTGTTCTGTTTATTGTCATGAGAATTCCCTCTCATACACAAATTCTTTCCATAATAATTTAACTGACACAGTCTACAGTGCATTTTAAATAGCAACATGTCAGAAAGAGCAAGGAGTAGGTGCAACGTGTATGCATCTCTTCATGTGTGTCTTTCTAGTGAGTATTGCATGATTTCCTTCCCCGTTCATCTCTTCAGTTCAAAACACAAGATAGGACCACCAGTGCAGAAAAGATTTTGTTATTCCTGGAGTAGTCAACAATACTGGCATGCTAAAAGTGCCTGAAAGCCTTCCTGGGTGAGAATACATCTTCACTTGTTAGTCAGACGTCAAAGATGCCAGGGGCTCTTGGATACAGCTGGAATAGCACTTAACAAACACCAAAAATATCATCACATGGGTAGGTTAACAAGTGATGGATAGTGGGTGGCTTGGAAATAAACATGTTTGTTGCTGAATTATTTAACTACTGTGAATTTTAGTGATACCTCTGCATTTTAAGCCAGTTTTCAACGGGCAGATGTTCACATGTGTGAATTAATGTTAGTCAACTCATTTGCTTTCTTTAGTGCTACACTTGAGAAGAGATTGCATTTGGGTCCCAATTAAAATCAGTGGTGAAACTCCACAGCAGGGGTCATATTGGTACATAAAAGCAGCATATAATATGGGTATTTGCATCTGTATCTTCCCATAGACCCTGCTGACAAAGAAACCCTTCCCTGATAATTCAGAAGCATTTGTTTACTCAAAAAATTATTTGAAGCAAAATGATGTTTTCATTTGTCCTTTTTTTTTCTTGATGTTTAATCAGACAGGTTTGGGGTTTTTTTTTTAATCCACCTATAATTCTAAAATGTTTTGTGTGAAATCATTCGGTATGTACATCACTTGGGAACTCTTCATTGTGAACTTTAATTTGAGCACTCAGCATATTTAATTTTAGCTATGCAATTGCACATCTAACTCAAATAGGACTATTTCTGTTCCCTGGCTCAATAACTCTTATTTATGCTTTATGCTTCTGTTTACATCCAAAATCAATTTCAGTTGAATCTTTACCTATGCAGATAAAGGAAGGACTTTATGCTTAAACTACAAATTTGAAATCCATCTTCTGAAAGAGTATTCAATAATTCAGAGCTGATTAGAGAGCTCTTGTCCAGGAAGTAGAGATTCAGGTTCTCTTTTTTATCTGCCCATATGGTTTTATAAACTTCAGCCCAGGCTGTGGCTATTAGGAGCCACACAGAGTGTTACTTCCTCTGGCTGAAGTTACTTTGCTTTGTTTATAGAAATCAAAGATTCACCACAAGGGAAAGGGAGAAAAAGCAGTTTGTAGTTTTAGTGAGAGTGTGCTTGCTGAGATGCAGGATGGTGCTCTAGTGCTGCTCAAGGAGCAAGGCAAATATACTCAGTGGCAATTAGGTACAAAAGCATAAAAATGAATGTGTGTAGGGGCTGGAAATCTCTATTCTCTCTTGCCCATTTAAACTCCTAGTCATTAGAGAGTCACATCTTCCCATTTTTTTCCCTTTAGAAAGAAAATTTTAGAAACAGAGTAAGGAATTTCCCTTTCTCGCATATGTATATAATTGTATATGTTTGCGCTTATTCATATGTAAACAGACACCCTCATATTTAAATATTAAACCAAAAATTTCTCATTAGAAATCTATTTCAGATAGCGAAGAAGTAGGTTTAGAGTATCTGATGATGTGACAATTTTCCATATGACATTTGACTGGAAAGATGCTTGGAAAAGCTAATTTGTAAATGTGCTTTTAGGACCTAATACAATCCTTTCGTGAAAGAAGACAAAATGTCAGTAGTACTTTTACTGGCATCATTGAGCATTGTGGTACAGTGCCATATAGAGACCCGGCAAAGAGAGAACCTCAGACTGCAAAGACCCATTTATAAAGTATCATTAAAAATATCTGATGATTTTGTTTTCCTCCAGCAGTGGTGCAGCGCCATGTATTTGTCTGCATCCTGAGTTCTGCGTCATTAATTTTCTCATGTTCCTATATGTTTCAAACACTCAGTGAGCTGTTAGCAGTGCTTTCTTTCCAAGTGCCTACAAAGTTTCTCTTGTGCCTGACTCTTTATTGCCTTCTAAGTATGCTGCATATTGTCAAAGTGTCTTGTTATTCATCCTGTCTCCTGTTTTATGCTGAAAGCTTTCAAAATGCATTTTAATGATGCATAACAGCAATATAATGAGCCTAATAGCATGCTATTGATTTTCGTTTAAAACTGACATTTGAACATTACAATAGCCTTTTAACAGTGTGTATATTTAATGTGATTTAAATGCAACACAGTATCTCTCTATTAAAAAAAAAAAGTTCCACAATCTCTATCTACTGAACATCTGCCCCCCACACCTGCAATCTGTTTGTTGCAATCAGCTGCATTAGAAGTACATCATTCTCAGTGTCTTAAAACAAGCAAGCCATAATCCTTGGTACAAGAAAATAAAAGGCAAAAACACAAAATCGCTCTATCCAGACACAGCTTTGCTTATCTGCTCTGGTCACAGCACAGGTATTAATGATCCACATCCAAGACAGAGAATGCAACTCATTAGCTCCATAGCAAAGTAAACTGCACAAGTGGGTGGACTAAGAAACACAAAGAGAAAAATGACACCAGCAAACATAGATATCAAGGTAAGACAGCAGGTTCCCTTTTGATGAGTAACTCTGTAACTACATCCTATGGGGAATTTTGTTTTCAGGAGAGGTTTCTGAGAAGCCAATGATCAAGCTGTGCAGCAGCCATACTGTGCCCTGACTAGCCTGTGTGTGTGGCAACTTGGACATAAAACTGACAGCAGGGTTGCCAGGCTGCACCAGCCATAGATCTTCCTTGTGTTACAAGTAAAGACATTCTTTCTACAGTGCTGTGGCATGTGTTTTTCAGGCAGCATTTATAACAAACGAATACAAGTCACGTTTACATCAGGTATTAGCCTTACCCCTCTGGCTTTTCACAGCATCACTTATAATCTTTACACTGCAATTATCTGTGCAGCAACATAAATGTGCATGACACTATCAAGATGTTAAGAAATACAGTTTCTGCTCTATGGGCTGGCTGAACATAAGGTAACACAGAGAAGAAGAAACAAATACGAAGGACCAGGGAAACAAGGAAGACTTACACTTTTGTAAGGTCTTCAGTTTGCTTGCTTTCCCGATGTGCAGCTGTTGGTTTGTAACCACATCAACCAAGAGGATCATCTGACAAGTCATGACTCAGACTTTATTGCAGTTTAGTATAATTAGACAGGGGGTTTGCTATTGAGCTTAAAAAAAGAACCAAAGCAGCTGCTTAGGTTGCCATTTTGTTCAGATGTTTTCCCAATCTCTGTGCTTTTCTTTCAAAATCATGATGCGAGTGAGTTCAGAAGCTAAATTTCTATGAGTATGTAAGTGATTTTGAAGACGCTTTTTGAAATAGCAGTAGTTCCCAGCATGCAAGTTAGGCTGAAATTAAGATACATGATTCTCAGAGACTAAGGAATCCAAAACTGTTTCACAAATAAGGTATTTATGACAGGCATAGGCACATGTTTTGTGATTAAAATGTAAGTAAAGTTCTATTTCTGCCCATATCAGAGACTCTGACTTCTAACTAGTGACAGAAGTGATCAAGAAGACCATCTTCATTTGGCTGACAAATTTGGAAATGGGGAAAAATAGTCTATCTTGAATAGATGGTGGTAGGAAAGAGTAACTGCTGAAAGCAGTGAAGCAGAGCATGGATTTTGAAACGGTCTGAGCAAAAATCTCAAATGCATGTAATTGAAGACAGAAGAAATGGCTGTTATCTTTTCACTTAAGATAGGTTGCATGAACATATCCTAGTCCTGAAAGTTCTAATTTGCATGGTTGATGGTGGAGGGGCTGTAGAATGATGAGTTCAGATTCGTTTTTGACCTCTGAATTAGGACAGCTCAATCCCATCCCCTAGGGGAGTAAGATCGAGTCTGAAGCTGAGTTGAGGCTAACTCCTGGTAAGAGCCCCAGTTATACCTACAGGCAAGATATATGGTCCTTTTCTTCTCTTCCAATGGAGTTGTATTCCTTTTTTTCCCAGACATTGCTGGTTTTTTGTATTTTAAACATAAATTCTTCAGGACAAGGACTGCCTCTAGTGACAGTTCTCAGTACAGCATTTGTTGGGACTGCAAAGCATCCCTATAATGGAAATTCTAGCACATCTCAGGAAGAAGGGGCTTCCATGCATAGGCCATTGAAGCAAAAACTAAAAGCTAGGGCAAAAGCAAAGGAGACGGACAAGATAGCTGCTTCTGTTCTGCCAGCTGCCATGAGGAAAGTCCCCCTTGGCTTCTCCTGCACAAACCATTCTCTTCTTTTGATTTCATGTTTGCACTTGTGTCTCACAACAATCAGAAGTTTCTAGAGGATGTGGAACTACCTTGTTCCCTGTCTGTTAAGTATGACTATAAAAGCCCAAGTCCACATGCTGACAGTTCAATGAAACAGAGAGGTAGTAAATTCAAGTCTTGCAAACAAAAAGCACTTTATATCCTGCATGCATAAAAACGATTTGCTGCCACAGACTATCGCTGAGGCCAAGGTCATAAGGAGGCACACAACACTCAAAGATGAGAAAATATCTAGAGTTAATGCGGGAGAGGATAAATTTAGAAGGTGTAAAGGTGCTTCTTCAGTTTACACAATCTATTAATGATGGATGAGACCTTTCTGGGGACTGTTTCCTCTGAAGTAGCTAGTCTTGGTCACTGGCAGACAGGAATCTCTAGACCATAAATCTGATGAACTATAGCAATTTCTGTGTTACTCACACCTGAGAGAGTCTGCTAACTTCAGAGTGCACAATGAGTTTTGTCTAAAGCACATCATCCATCATGGGTGCAGAAAAAGTGTGTTCGTTCTGTGATGGTGTGAAAAATTGCCCAACAGGCAGTTGGTTTGCAGGCCAGTGATGTACACACATGGGTAATATGGTGTCAGTGTACAAGACCTTGCATTCATTCCTGTGCTGTTGCATGCCTAAAAGGATCCCAGGTTTTGAAATTCATGCACCTCCTGCTCTTCCTTTTAATTCTTTGCTCAAAATCCAGCTCAAACTTCCTCTCTCATCCTGACTATTTTTAAGTATACATAGAAACAAATGTTTTGTAAAGATGTGAGAGGCATTCTGCTTTATTCCCAGGGGCAAATAAAGCCTTTTATTTTTAGCCTAGTTTCCTAAGGAAATGAGACTGATGCAATCACATTGTCTATTTGTCTGTCTATCAAATAAGCCCCCTTCCCCCTTTCCCTCCCCCCCCACTTCTCACCATTAATCTTTTCCAGCCAGATCTGACTGAAAATTATTATTTCAAAAGTGTTAAATGAACGTAAGTTTTATGAAAATCAGTGGCTGGGCCAGAGGAGAGATCTCATTGGTTCCCTCACTGGAAAAGTA